ACGCCTTCATTATACACCTTTAGGCGCCAGGCAAAAACGTTCCTTTTGAACCAGGTTGATCCGATTTACAAACTATGCCCTTTTAAAATGTGTTTTTTTTGGGGGGGGCAGCTATTGGGTTGTTGTTATTTTTATTAGGTATTTTGTGGTTTTATATCTTGATTTTATTCTGGGAACCACCCTGAGACCCCCAGGTATAGGGCAGTATATCAAACAAACAAACAAACAAATATTCTTTGTGGGAGGCCATGACAGTTTCAAGTGGTAGGATACTGCTTTGAAGGTATTGTGCAGACTCCATAGTCCTGGAGATGAGCCAGAGTAAAGAGAGCCCATGAAACAACCGACTAAATCAGGACCCATGAGGCTAAGTGAGGTGACCACCTTAGGCAGCAAGATCCCCTTGTAGATCTCTAGTCTGCCCTTGTTTCTGAAGTAGATCTTCACTCACCCCTTCTTCCCTGGTAGGGGGGGGGGGAGCGCCACTTGCTCGTTCGTCTCAGGTACCCAAATGTCTCGGGCCACCCCTGGACTTAATGCTCAGAGGCATAGCTGTCAACTTACAGATTTGAAAATAAGGGACCAGCAGCCTTGAAAATAAGGGACCAGAAGCCAAAATAAGGGACCTGCAGCCTCACCTGTTCCAGGCACACCAGTCTTCCTGTCCTCCTGCAGTCTGGCCAAACTCATGCTGGTAGCTTCAAGAACACTGTCCAACCAACTTTGTAACCAGAGGTTCAACTGAATAGAATCTGAATCATATGCACCACAAGGCCTATGCAGCCTCAACTTAAGGTGGCTCCCCGGCCTGGCTTTGCACTGCAAACTTTGCAGCAGCATGTGCAACAAAATGGCGTCCAACATTCAAAACCCCCCTCAGCTTGCATTAACTAGCCACACACAAGGCATGCAAGCTCCACCCCCCAGTCATTCTTAGACTTGTTATTGGGTGAGCAACACAGCCAAGCAACACAGTTGGAGCCTCCCTCCTCCCTGGCCGGCAGGGAGGGAGGAGCTGCTTCCTTTGAAATTTAAGGGACATCATTTAAGGGACATCCATCAATAAGGGACAGCAGCGGGACATGGCGCTGGAATAAGGGACTGTCCCTTCAAATAAGGGACACTTGACAGCTATGCTCAGAGGTCGTTACATAGAAGTGAATGTTAGCATTGGATTATCCCTAACTATAAACACCGCAAGGTCCTGTTCTCTTGTAACAAGCGGCAGGTTCCAGAGTGCGCAGCTGTGCTCTGGCTTTCTTGAGGAGAATGTGGCTCCTATTTACCCAGCATGCTGCACTCCTAAAAAATACCTGGCTGTAAATGAGGGGAAGGGGAAGCTTCCGGGTGCTTTGGGTTTTCCAAAATCCAGGTTCCCAGAACGGAAACGAAGCGTATGTGTGTTTTGGGGGACTGCTGTGGTTTGACTGCTGAGCGCCTGACATTGTGGACCCAGCAAATCACGCAGCCCTTTGGGAAGCCCAGAAGGTGTCCCATGCGCCAAATGTCAGAGTCAGCACATTCCAAAATAAAAGGGAAAATACAATGAATAAGAAGAAGGTGGTGACAATAATAATAATAATAATAATAAAGACAAGAGTAAGATATTCAGTAAAAAAAAGGACAGCAATCGCTCTTCCTGATCGGTGCGATTTCTTCCCTACCTGCTCCCCCCTTCCCTTCTTTCTTCTTTCAGCCGACAGGCAATCATTTACATGAGGCTCTCCATTATACGCCGAAATAACAGTGCAGTTTTCATTAACAAAAGAGACTGCCTCTCTCCTCTTGGTTTGTGTTGTCAAGATACTTTAGCTGAAATATACAGCGATTTCCAACACTTACCCTGCTTGTCACACTGAGAGTGAAATAATGGCTGACATTAGGAAGATTATTTCTCTGCAATAAAATTACCTTTCACAACATATTTCTATCTAAGTGGAAATGATAGAAATCATAGATTCTATTTTCAAATGGAGGGACGGGGTGGAGTAAAGGGAGAAGAGAATGAAAGCAACAGGATTTCTCCCTCCACCCCACCTCCCCAGAGCCAGTCAGGAAGGCAGCGCAGGGAAACACAGGCCTGCCTGCCAACAGAGGCCTAAATGGAACGCCGTGGATTTGCCAAAAAATAAAGAGGAAGACCAAAAATGATTTAATAACAAGTACAATAGATTCAAACGAGTGGCTCCCCTTTCACACACAGGGCAAGCTTAAAGTTTTGTGGGGCGCAAAGTAGGATTGGGGAGCCGGGGATCTGCCTTAATGGGCAATCCGTTGCAAAACTGACCTTATCAGCAGCTAGAAAAGTCAGCTGCAGGACTCTGCAGGTGTCCAACCAATTTGCATCAGGAAGGTGACATCTGAAATTATATCTGCTTAAGGCCTGGGATAGGGATGGACGGGGTGGGGGTGGGCAGCAAATTTGATTCAGTTCGCATTTAAAGGCGAACCTACCTCATCTGCACTTTTTGAAACAACGCCTGAAACAAAACATAGTCACCCTTGGAAATCCCCCCCCCCATTTTTTCCATGCAGCCAAGTACAAAAACACACATGCTAGGGTAAAGTGTGCCTAAAAATACATACAGTTGATGATCATTTTGCGGGGTTTTTTTGTTCCCAGCCCCTGTATGCATCAACAAAGTGCATCACAGGGTTGCCATATTTTTGAGGTCAAAAAAAGAGGACACATTTGCCGACTTCTGCTTTTAACTATGGATCGCTGTGATGACTCTACCCATGAAAATTACGACATGCTCTGGAAAAAGAGGATATATAGCAAGTCTGACGCCCTGCCCTGGTACACCCCTCCCCTGCCCCCATTTCACCCTTTTTGTGACATATTTTGTGACATTTTCGGTGATTTCCGGGCTCAGCGCTGTGCATGTGTGCACAATCACACATCTTTGGGATGTGCGTCAATCGCTCATGGCCTGTACATTAGTGATGACCACCAGCCTTCTAAAATGTGAGTTGAGCTTGCTTTAGGGTTTTTCTGAATAACAGAGGTACGTTTGTCAAGGAATCCCTGCTGGCTGCAGCTCTCTGTCCAACGAGCCTGGCACCACTCATGTATGAAACAGCCCTCATTTCAAAACTAATCTTTAGTCAGACCAATGTCTGGATCAGACCAAGCACACATCTTGCCCAGCATTCAGTTCCCCAAATGCCTCTTGGGAAGCCCATGAACAAGGCACAAAGGGAGCAGTCTATTCCTTCCCAGAAACAGGTACCCAGAGATCCTAGATCAGCCATCTTGGTTAGTAACCATTGGTGGACCTCTTTCTCCACGAAATCTGTCTGATCCTCCTTTAAAGGATCAGTACCAGTATTATGAGAGGCAGAGAAAAAGGTTTGTTTCCATTTTCTCCTTATCATGCATAATTCTATGAACTATCAAAATGCCTCCCTTTAGTCATCTTTTTTCTAAAACCAAAAAAAACCCACAACTCCCCATATTTCTGCTTTTCCAGTATCTTTGGTCATTTTTGTCATATTTCTCACATTCAATCTGGGACCACAAGCACCAATAAAACTGCCTTGGGACTGGAATTGGTTAGCCTCTAGTGAGTTTCCTTGACAGACCACAGCAATTCCACCAGTGTGGCCATGTACCCTACTTGACAGAGGCAGTTCTCTATCTCAAATGCTACCAAAGAGGATAAACAACCCAAAGAAAGGAGAGCAGCGAGAGGGGGTTTAAATTTTCCCATCAACCATTTGCACCTGGACAGCGGGATGTGCTGGCACATGGGACACCGAATCTCAGGTCGCCTCTCTCACCCTATGGTTGTTGTTTAGTCGTGGTTGTTGTTTAGTCGTGTCCAACTCTTCATGACCTCATGGACCAGAGCATGCCAGGCACTCCAGGCTTCCACTGCCTCCCACAGTTTGGTCTTTACAGCACTGGACTTTCCTTTCGCTTCCAGGCATATCCGCAACTCAGCGACCTTTCGGCTTTGGCCCAGCTGCTTCATCAGCTCTGAATCTACTTGTAATTGTCCTCCGCTCTTCCTCAGTAGCATGCCTTCCGAGCTGAGGGGCTCATCTTCCAGCGTCTTATATGCCTGTTGTCTTTGTCCATGGAGTTTTCTTGGCAGGGATACTGGAGTGGCTTGCCGGTTCCTGCTCCAGGTGGATCACGTTTGGTCAAAACTCTCCACCATGACCTGTCCATCTTGGGTGGCCCTGCATGGCATAGTTCATAGCTTCTATGAGTTATTCAAGCCCCTTCACCATGGCAAGGCAATGATCCATGAAGGGGACGTACCTCGGGTTAAGTACTTAATTCGTTCTGGAGGTCCGTTCTTAACCTGAAACTGTTCTTAACCTGAAGACCACTTTAGCTAATGGGGCCTCCTGCTGCCGCCGTGCCGCCCGAGCCCGATTTGTGTTCTTATCCTGAAGCAAAGGTCTTAACCTGAAGCACTATTTCTGGGTTAGCGGAATGTGTAACCTGAAGCGTATGTAACCTGAAGCATATGTAACCCGAGGTACCACTGTATTTCTATTTAAGCTGCGCAACTATTTCTAACTTCCATCTATAAAGATTAATTCGCGTATGCACGTTTCATTCATCCTTTCCCTTCCGCCTCATTTTTAAGAATGGCGCAAGTGGCTGCCGTAAATCACTTGTGCACGCACCTCCAGACTAGCATTCTGGAGAACAGAATCTCTTCTGTCCCCCTCCAAGAGTGTTTTTTGCATAAACGAAGAGCAAATAGTCTTGGAAAATCACCTCTCCACACACATCCACACCAGCCAGTCCCCAGGCATCCTTTTGTAGTTTAACCTGCACGAGGGGGAAATGGTTCTTTGCTCTGTTCAAATCTGACCACATTGCTGGCATTTTTCTGCAGCGCAAGAAGGCACAGTGTGTTAAAACTGCACAACCCCGCACCTCGGGGAAGAGATAGGGAGCCTACCTGCTCCTTCCCCAGCCACTGCTCCAAGTTCTCATAGTGTTAACTGTCTTCTCTTTAAATCCCTTCAGTTCTGCCTGCCACCGAGCGCGACCCAGATCACATTAGATTCCCAAAGCAAAGGGAACGGTTCTCATCTATCCGTCACCAAGGAGGCAGACAGGACCGGGGAACAACAAGGCATTTGTACCTGAGGAGGAGGACACTCCTGGGAAACAAACAGATGAGCCACCCCACGAATCCGAGCTATTCTCCAGAGGTAAACAGAACTGCATGAGAAACACGCAAATTATCAGGGACATCTCGGTAATTCTCCCTTGCTTCAAGCTGCTGGTGAGGTGGGCTTGGGGTCTGAAACGCTACATTGTCCCAGGGGTCGAGCGTGTGAGAATGTTAACCCTTGGAAAATAATGAGGATGTTGGGGAAAGGCAGGGGGAGAGCGGGGGGTGGGGGGAGAGAGGAGGCAGGCCCCAGCCTTGCAGAGACCTGCCGTTCATTTCACAACCACCACAACATGCTGAGCAAGCCCTTCCCAAACCACATGGCATTATGCCCAAAGGCAGAGGCATGCTTCACACACACACACACACACACACACACACAAGTTCCCCTGCTACATCTCTGTGAGAATCACAGGCCTGCATGTGTCACAATCCCGTTTTATCAATGGAAATTGGTGGGTTGCTTTGAGTATTATGTCCCAAACAGACATGTTTTCCCACGTAACAGGGATAACACCAAGGTTGCAGGTTTGATCCTTGTGTGGGACAACTGCATATTCCTGCATTGCAGGGGGGGTGGACTAGATGACCCTCGTGGTCCCTTCCAAATCTGCAATTCTATGATTCTAAGTGAGCCTCCAACTGCCCCATTTTAATTAAAAATTAAAAATGCTGAATGGTCTCATTCCAAGGGCAACTCAGGCTGCGTTCACATGGCAGATTAATGCATTCTCACAGTGTTTTCCTAACTGCTTATTTACATGTTATACAGTCGTACCCCCGCTTACGTATCCCTCCAGTTATGTAAACTTCGGTATACGTAAGGTGCAAACCCGGAAGTATATTTCTGGGTTTTTGCAGCACGCGCATGCGCAGAAGCGGTGTCTCCAGTTGCGAAAATCTCAGGATCTGGCCGGACCTCCGGAATGGATCCCATCCGCAACCAGATGTACCACTGTATTTAAGCTTTCACACAATGTAAAAGCCACTTCTGGACCAATGGTGGAACTATAGTGCATGTTTAGGACTCATTTCCATCTTACTTGCAAATGGATTTTTTCTGGAAGCAAAATGTGCACTATTTTTATTTTTAAATTTGCATACCGCCCTTCATCCGTAGATCTCAGGACAGTTCACAGCATAAAAATTCAAGGTAAAAACACAAAATGCACAATAAAAACAAGAACAAACAGACAAGTAAACAACCCCCCCCCAAAAAAAATAACAAAAAAAACAACCCTCCACTCCCACCCTCTACCACAAACACATTTTAAACCTTGCACTATATTCCACTATAGTTCCAGAAGCGGCTTTTACATCATGTGAAAGCTCAGATACAGTGAGGAACTTAATAAAAGTAATGACAATTGAATAAATTGCTGTGTGAATGCAGCCTCAGCATGTCAAAGCAACATTGTGTCCTGAGGGCCCTTACAGAAGGCACTGCCAGGCATAATGTTGGGAAATAAATGGGGGTGGGCAGAAATAAACATATAAAATGACATTTTAGAAAAAATAAATGCACTTTATAGTTAGCACTAAAATGATGCATTCCTAAAATTAAACACAATTAGCAAAATGGTCTAATTGTGTCCTTTGGTATGAAGTTCTTCGTTCTGATCTGTGAGTGAAAAAACTATATATACACAATATACTTATGTCAAGACCGAACCCCAGCACAAAGTATGCATTCCGCCTGTTGCTTTCATTGCTAAATGAGCTGCCTGAGCACATGTGGGACTGCAGACCTTCCACAGGCAAACCTTTGAAAAACATATGTTATAATTGTTGGCATCCCTCAAGGGACACTGAAGTGCTCCTCTAGAGATGAAGTCAAACGCTGGAGAATCACAGCGCCTGCTGTGGTTGCAGAGACCAGTAACTCATAATGGCTGCCTCCCACATTGCTTTTGCTGCGTTAGCAGCACCAAAGGGACCTCTCCAGGGCACAATCCTAGGCAGTGTGTGTGGAACTCCTGGGTTGCCCAGAGGACAAGACCCCCCTCTCAGCCTTGCCAGACTGCTCCAAATAAAAGCAGAGCAATGTGTTTGGCACCAGCTTGGCTGCAGGAGTTGCCAGAAGGAGGCATACAAGATACCACCCAACTGTCTTAGGGACTTCACTCTGAATTTGTGTAGCATTTTCTTCTCCTGCATCCCGCAAGGCAGCAGAGGTTTAGGATCAGAGTTTTCCTTCTCCTAGATGGACTACCTTCCCAGGTGGATGAGCCCCACCTGCCCCTCACTTCCCTCTACAGCACATGCAGAAACCACCTTCTTGACTGTTGGACCACCAAGCCAAACTCAACCCACCAGCTGTGAACTTTGGGGTGAGGAGTCTAAGAGGTTTCTGGACAAGAGCTTTTAAGACAAGGTGGCTGAGTGGCTTCATTCTTTTCTGAAGCAAGGGGTGGGGGAAACCGCTCGTCATTGCTGCAGCAGTGTCTTGGCTTCCTGCAGCAGGTAGCTTTCTAAGTGGGAATATAATGCCTCATTGAAAAAAATGCTACATCACAAAACGGTTTTCCAGGCTGGAATAGAATGCACAGTAGGAGTGGCTCTACATCATGTAACACCATTCCCAGAGGGTATTGGTTCCAAATGCTGTGAGCCTCCTCCAGGAAGCCAAAAAAGCCAAGCCAATGAAACCCTCATCTACCTATCTAGAATTGCTCCAATGTCTTTATCCTGGCAATATGTTGACTGTTAACTGTTTACACGGTAGAAACTTAAGCTTATGAAGCCTGTGATGCAGTGCAAATGTGGAAGGAAATATTCGTGCACAAAGAACCATGAGCTCATACTTGAAACAAATGGTTGGTTGTTGTGAATAAATGGAATGGGCAGCCCAGTTTTCCCTAGATTCTACCTTGAAATATGTATTACAAGGTAGAGTTCGTTCAGCTGGTTTTGGTGACAGCCATGGAGTAAATCCAAGGAAATCAATGGACTTTCCCCCCCATGAATTCCAATGGATATGTTCTATGTCTCAGTTGGTGATATTGTACTATATAATAAAATTATGAGGCTGTCGTCATGCTGTAGTTCCTGTGGCAACCAACAGGTAGCCACAGAAACTCCAGCATGAAGACAGATTCACAGGTGAGCACACAAGCTGTATGGGTGGCAGCCAGCCAGGTCAGCTGTTTAAAAGTGAGAGCCACTTCAGAGTGTGGTTCGACAAACCACTCTCTGAAGTGCCTCTCCCCCACCCAATAAACATCGCTGTCATGGCAATTAACAGAGTGGGGAGGTGCTTCAGAGAGCGGTTTGCCAAACCAATCTATGAACGGCCTCCCACCCTCCTTTAAAAAGGGGTGGGATGGGGTAAACTGTGAATGGAGGTGGACTTGGGGCAAGTAGGAAGGATTTGGGTGAGCTGGGAAGGGATGGGGTGCAGCAAACTGTGCGAGGTGGGGTGAGCTGTGATTGGGAGGTTTGGGAAAGCCGTGAGGGAATAGGGGGTGGGTGGGTGGGTGTAAAGAGAGGGTGATCTTTTTCAGGTGTAAAGGGAGGATGGGTTGTGGGGAAAGTGAGATTGGCAGGTAGTCAGTACTGGAGATCAGAGTGGCAGCCCCTTTGTTGTTTAGTCGTGTCCGACTCTTCATGACTCCATGGACCACAGCACGCCAGGCACTCCTGTCTTCCACTGCCTCCCGCAGTTTGGTCAGACTCATGTTCATAGCTTCGAGAACACCGTCCAACCATCTCATCTTCTGTCGTCCCCTTCTCCTTGTGCCCTCCATCTTTCCCAACATCAGGGTCTTTTCGAGGGAGTCTTCTCTTCTCACGAGGTGGCCAAAGTATTGTGGCTGCTGTCACCATCTGCAGTGATCATGGAGCCCAAGAAAGTAAAATCTCTCACTGCCTCCATTTCTTCCCCTTCTATTTGCCAGGAGGTGATGGGACCTGTGGCCATGATCTTAGTTTTTTTTTTTTATGTTGAGCTTCAGACCATATTTTGCTCTCTCCTCTTTCACCCTCATTAAAAGGTTCTTTAATTCCTCCTCACTTTCTGTCATCAAGGTTGTGTCATCTGCATATCTGAGGTTGTTGATATTTCTTGCGGCGATCTTAATTCCGGCTTGGGATTCATCCAGCCCAGCCTTTCGCATGATGAATTCTGCATATACCAGTACGTTAAATAAACAGGGAGACAATATACAGCCTTGTCATACCCATTTCCCAATTTTGAACCAATCAGTTGTTCCATATCCAGTTCTAACTGTAGCTTCTTGTCCCACATAGAGATTTCTCAGGAGACAGATGAGGTGATCAGGCACTCCCATTTCTTCAAGAATTTGCCATAGTTTGCTGGGTTGACACAGTGAAAGGCTTTTGCATAGTCAAAGAAGAAGAAGAAGAAGAAGAAGAAGAAGAAGAAGAAGAAGAAGAAGAAGAAGAAGAAGAAGTAGTAGTAGTAGTGGTGGAGGAGTTTGGATTTGATATCCCGCCTTTCACTCCCTTTAAGGAGTCTCAAAGCGGCTAACATTCTCCTTTCCCTTCCTGCCCCACAACAAACACTCTGTGAGGTGTGTGGGGCTGAGAGACTTCAGAGAAGTGTGACTGGCCCAAGGTCACCCAGCAGCTGCATGTGGAGGAGCGGAGACGCGAACCCGGTTCCCCAGATTATGAGACTACCACTCTTAACCACTACACCACACTGGCTCTCAGAAGTAGATGTTTTTCTGGAACTCTCTAGCTTTCTCCATAAACCAGCACATGTTTGCAATTTGGTCTCTGGTTCCTCTGCCTCTTCTAAATCCAGCTTGCACTTCTGGGAGTTCTCAGTCCACATACTGCTTAAGCCTGCCTTGTAGAATTTTAAGCATAACCTTGCTAGTGTGTGAAATGAGTGCAGTTGTGCGGTAGTTAGAGCATTCTTTGGCATTGCCCTTCTTTGGGATTGGGATGTAGACTGATCTTCTCCAATTCTCTGGCCACTGTTGAGTTTTCCAAACTTGCTGGCATGTTGAGTGTAGCACCTTAAAAGCAGCATTTTTTAAAATTTTAAATAGTTCAGCTGGAATAGCATCA